TGACGTCTAGCTGAATGTTACATGTCCAAATAACATATATCAATTCAATTACTTATCATCATCATCTACCAGTCTGATGATTATCATATCTAACTTGTCAAGTATATTTTTGCTTCCATAAGGAAAAGACTCATGTATGCCTTGTTCCTTCCGTCCCTTCTGTTACTCAAAATCAGTTTTAACTTCTACACAGAGACTGACTATTAATATTTATCTAATTATCCAAACGTGTCTCTTCTATATTCAGAACCACAGATTACTAAAGAAACCTAACTGACTACTGTGCAAAATGCCTGAGTAGATGAGACATAGAAAAACTTATATCTCCACCCTCCCGAAACCTAGCTAGCTGTCGTCGTGGGAGGGCTTAGAGAGCGGGACTGAGACCAATGTAGGATTACCCCTACTTTGGGCCTCAGCCCTTGCCTCAAACTGATTTTGCTCCCCCCCCCCAATCCCTTGCCCGTTGTTGTCGTGGGGGGGCTTAGGAGACGAAGACTGAGACCCAATACAGGGATCTCCCTGCCTAGGGCCTCAGCCCTCGACTCAACTAATTTTGCATGGTCTTTTCCCTCTCCAGCTTTTGTTTCCGTCTCTTCTCCATCCCCTTCTACTATCTACTTCCTAAGGTGTGAGAGCCGTGCTGAGAGGATGAAAGGCTGACCTAGTGCCAGTCCGGAACGGCCTGCGGGAACTATGGGCACGGTACTCCCGACTAATCTAGCCCTTACCTTCATTAGCGAAAGGAGGTGGACCGTTTAGGCCTTTTTACATAATCCAGGTTCCCATGACCAGTAATGAAAAATGTAATTCCCTTTATTAGAGGCTATGAAGCTAGCCCCTTTATCAAATAGCCCCAACCCAGGCTCTCCTTTGACCAATGCTCCGAACACTGAAACTACTACTCACTCCTCAATGCCTACTATTGCATTACCCACCCAAGGCAGAGAATCAATCTCCAGAAGACATTCCTACCCCACCAACTTCCTCAAATTCAACTCCCACCTGCAACCTTCATCAAACAAACCAACCCTCCCTTATTACTACCTTGCAACCTATTCTCCATCATTTTCGTAATACTCCCTCTTCCACACGTCCCCGACCATCCACCATCACCAACACTACAGATATCTTAAATACTCTGTTTAGCCCAGCTAAATGGGACCGATTTTCGTGATCCTGCTACAGCTCCTTACTCAGGCAACACTCTTCTCTTTCAACAATGCCTCCAAAAACAAGTAGGCAGAGTCCCTTTCTATACCCAGACGCGATCGCTCCCGTCTGGTAACAGTCAGATCAGAAACTGAATCTATAGCACTATCAAATTTAACTGATCATTCTGGCAACCCCATTCCTGCAGAACCTCATCCAACCCTTAATACCTGTACCGGAACTGTCTGTCTCTCCCCAGCAAACTGCCCAGTCGATACCAAAGATTGGTCAGACTGTGGAGAAGACTTTTTAGGATGCCTCAAAGACCAAGATGTGAAATCAGTACATTGCTACACCATTCCTCCTAAAAGGTCAACGAAAGAATCCGACCAATATTGCCAAAATTACCTTCCGTACATGACCTTCCCTTACGTATCTACATTGGTGGCAATCCCTCCCTGTTCGACCATACCAACCCCCTCCCCGTCAATGTCAAAATTGTTGGCGCTTTGGACATCCTGCAAACATTGCCGTTCCACAGACCGATGCCCATATGCCCAACCTGGGCATAATCGATCAAACTGCTCAGCACAAACACGAACATGTGCTAACTGCGGCGGCCCCCATAATGTATTTATAGAGGCTGTCCCACTTACAAGTTTGAATCTGAGGTAGCAACTCTCAGATACAAAAGTGGTCTCACTTTACGTGAAGCCAGACAGGAAGCACGTCGACAAGTTTCTCTCATACTCCATATTCTAGTAACATCGTTCGCTCAGCCCCTCCCCCCTCCACCCCAAAATGTCCCCATTTCCACTTCTACATTCTACATCCCTCAGACCAATTCCTTTGCCACTCTAAACCCAGACACCCCAATCTCAACCACAGCTCCTATCTCAACTACAGCCCAACAACCAACCCCTCTCCCTCCCCGCACTACCCGCAGTAGACAGACTAAACGTTCTAACCCTTCCCCTACAGCAGAATCACCTCCACCTACCTATACCTTTGTTCCTGAGACATCAGTCTCCTCTTCCCCCCTCATAAAAAAAAACCTTTATCCCACAAAACTCTCCCAACAAACTCACTGCAGAAACAATGGATGACATTCAAAGCTATATGCTTGAACACAAGATCCCATAACTCATGCTCCTTCCACACTTGAAGTGGTTGCCTATATTCATCCCCCTCCTACTAATATTCCCCCTACACCCCTTCCTCCTACTTCCATTCCACCAACCCCCTCAATTCCGTCCACCTCCGATATCCATCCTCCCAATACCCATCCTCCTGATATGCATCCCCCTCTTACTCACAGCACCCCTACACCCTTCCTCCTAATCCCTCCAACAACAACACATCCCCTTCAACTCCAACTATCCATCCTTCCGATATTTCATCCTCCTAACACTAATTTCTCCCCACATCTACTCCTCCCAACACAACCTACCCCCTTCAACCCAACTATAGGCACATTCTCCTCCCTCCATCCCTCTATCCCTTTGCACTCCTCCCGGATACACACAAGAATCACTCATGGCACAACAATGCCCTTCTCCAGATTCCCACCTCCTAATATCCCCCCTTTA